CGAAGTTTGGTATGCTAGTTTCGTGGAGTTTACCTAAGACCATAGAGAGCCTTTTTAAGTTTGCAGACAAGGGGAGTTCCATCCACATCATTTTGTTCGAACCCTAGGGGTTGTGCATGAAGACATCTTCATCAAGATCCCTATTAAGGAATGCATTGTTAATGTCTACATGTCTCAACTCCCAACTATTAGCCACAACTAAAGCCAACACAACATTAAAAGAAGAAAACTTTACAACTGAACTAAAAGTATCAATAAAATCATATCCAGGTACTTGTGAGAAGCCTTTTGCAACCAACCGTGCCTTATACCGTTGAATAGAACCAGCATGATTGCATTTGAGCTTAAACAACCATTTTTAGCCAACTGGAACACGACATGCTGACAATTTAACCAACGCCCACGTGTTGTTCTTATGAAGTGCATCGTACTCAGCTTGAACAGTCTCTCTCCAACTAGCAGACTATAATACTTCCTGAACTGTACATGGTACTTTATTCTCAAAATATCTCGTGTAAGATTTAGGTTTAAATACTCCACATTTGCTATGTGTCAACATGTGATGATGATTTTGTAATGAGTTACTCGGCAATCTACTGCATGCAGCTGTGTCTTCCCCTCCACCTGATTTAGCATGACCATCTACACTAGCCACACTAAGAGGCATAATTGAGTTTACATCATCAGTCACAGAAGTATCTGTGGTTCCTTCTATTGTGACTTCCCCAACAACATGTAGTGTATTACCCTGTTGATCAGGAACATCCAACTGAGTCTGACTCATAGCTTTATTATCTCCTTCATCATGTAGGCTGTCAACTACCTCATTTGGAGAAACATTGCGTTGCCAATTTTTCACATCAGCAACAATATGAATGTCCTGAGATCATACTCCTGACAAATGATGTCTTGAACAAGTCACTGCTTTATCTGCAAAAGAAAACACCATTTCATTAAATACCACATGGCATGATATATACCCTACCATCACTTGCAAGACACTGATATCCTTTGTGTGAGGACTGAAACTAAGGTAAGTGCATGGCTGTGATCGAAAAGCTAACTTGTGATTCTGAAAAGGTCTCAGATGTGGAAAACATTGACACCTGAAGACTTTCAACGAGCCATATTATGGTTTCTTTTGAAATAGTTTCTCAAATAGTGTCATTCCTTCAAGAACCATTGTAGGTAATCGATTAACAAGGTGAACAACAATAACTACTGCATATGACCAGTATCGAATGGGCAGGGACGCTTGAGCAGTAGAACGAGATTGAGTTCAACTATATGACGGTGTTTGCGTTCCAAAACACCATTCTGCTCAGATGTGTGTGTTATTCCTGACTTTGCTAGAACCATCGAGAGAGGACGATATTCACCACCCCAATCTGACTGGACTGCCTTGATTGCCAGCTCAAATTGATTTTCTACAAGTTTATGAAACAACTGAAAAGCTGTACAAGCTTGTGCTTTACTTTTGAGGAGATAAATCCATGTGTAACGTGTACATGCATCAAAAAAGGAAATGTAGTAATGAAAACCACTAGATGCAACATGAGGAGGTCCCGCAAATCAGAGAAAACAAGCTCAAAAGGAGTAATGTACTGATTCTTCGAGGAAGAAAATGACAATTTATGACTTTTTCCCATAAAGCAAGCCACACACGTTTTATTAACATCCAAATCAAATTTTACATTAATCTCTTTAGCTATTTTATTCATAGCATAGCTAGCTGGATGCCCTAATCGACGATGCCACAGTTTAGATTGTGACATGCTAGCAGACACGAGATGAGCTGCAGCATTATGATCTTCTACACGCTTACAAACAAATGCAAAGGTATACATCCCTTCCTTCTCTTCACCTTGTAGGAGAATTTCTTTAGAAGACTCATCACAAACATAGCACTTCTTAGCATGAAATTCAAGATAAACAACATTGTCCCTAGCAAGATTAGAGACGGAAAGCAAATTCTTGGTTATCCGAGGCACGTGTAATAATTCATTTAATAAAAAGTTCTTGAAGAAGAAGCAACAACTGTACTACCAATGTTATGTATATTAAGGGAAACTCCATTTCCCACAGTGAGCTTACCTGAACTTCTAAATTTAGCTTGATTTGAGACATTTGCTGCATCAAGTGTAATGTAATGTGTTGCACCTGAGTCGACAACCCAGTGATCAGCAGCTTTGGAGATCTCATTAGCATGTGCTTGACCAATCCCTTGATAACATCCTTTACAATACTCATAGCCCATACTAGGAGTTTTATAAACTGAAACTGAATAATGTGCATTAATAGACTAACCTTTGTGAGATCGTGAGTCAGAGGTGACACACATAAAATCCTCATCAAAACGATGCCAACAACGATCAACTAGATGGCCAAGTTTCCCACATAGCTGACATTGAATCCTAGCTCTTCCCCGACCTCGACTGCCAGATCTGTGCACCGAGGATGATCGAGTAACCTTGGAATCGTGTCGATCACCTTCAACAGAGTTGTGATCTTCCTAACGCTGAGCTAAATTGGCACTCATGGGAAGCGAGTCTAACTACTCATCGAAGCCAGCTAACTGAGCTTCAGCATCTAAAAGAACTGTATAAAGGCTGTCCAAAGAGAGTCTCTCCTTCATTGTAGTAATGATAGCCATAAATGGTTGATACTCCCTGGGCAGCCCTTTCAAGATACTGGCAACATGACCAATATGTGAAACTGCATTGCCACACGAGGCAAGTGCATCACAGACTTCTTTAACTCTAGTAAGGTAAGCAGCATGTTGTCATTACCTTTCTTGAGTGATTGCAGTTTACAATGCAAACTCATCGCAACCGTTGTAGACCTATTGGCAAAGAGTTGTTGCACCGTAACCCACACTGCAACAGCCGATTTAGCACCAACAAACTGAGGAAGAAGATGAGAGCTGATGGTGGAAAAAAGCCACGACGCAAGCGCACTATTTTGCGCCACAAAATCTTCAAAATCATCATTAACGCTCACCTCACCATGTCACCAGTAATCGTATCAGGTGGCCGCTTCAGGACACCGGTCAACAGCTGTTCTAGACGATGGCTACGGACAGTCAGTAGGATTTGCTGCTTCCATAGCAGAAAGTTCGTCTCATCGAGAACAACACTGACTTTCTTATGCGAGAAGCCTTTGGATGATTCCATAGCCAGCCAAAGACGAGCAGCAGCGGAGGCGAACAAGAAACCCCAAAATCTTCGACGAAAGATACCATATTAGAAAAACTGTAAGCAAATTGTGTTGCACAAGAAAGGTATCTTCCTTCATTGATTTACACATGTTTATATACATGTTGCAGCTCACATTATTCATAACTGCAACCTAACAACCTCTAATAGTTTAGCTTAACAACTTAACAAACTAAATAACTTCAATACCATAACCACTAGGATACATACACGTGTACCTCTAATTATAATAGTCTAACAAGAATGGTTTAAGGAAGAAAAGATTTCCCCATGGAAAGTACTCATTTTACGCCTCACCGGTGAGAAGGAGATTAAGGAAGATGAAAATGGAGAAGATGAAAAGAGAGATACCTGATAAGACGACGGTCTGTCTTGCTGGTGAGAAGGAGGCCACTGGATCGCTCGATTTTTTGGTGTGGAGAAAGGAACGGGAAACGAAGGAAAATGACTTACCCTTTTCCAAAGGGTAAGTCATTTTACCGTGTTTTGCTTTGAGTTTTTCGTATTGACCCTCTTGTTTTACGGGAACCAAATATAGGAAAATGGGGAAAATATTTTCCGTAAAATGTTTTCCCTAACCAAACGAACCCTTAGTTTAAAACGAAACATAGTTGTTTAGAAACACTGTTTGGGTGCCACGGCCACGTAATATAACATCATGTGCACATTGTAAATGTATTTTTATTTGGAAAACCCTCAAACTTGTCTTTTTATATAATTATTGATATAGAAAGAGAATGCATCATTTAGATTATTGAAATAATTTTTAAGTATATTAAGTCAAATTATGATTTTGGTCTCAAATTAGAGATTTCTTTAATCTTGGCATATTTACTTTATATGTCATCTATTAATAGTAGGGATGGAGCTAAGATATTTGTTCAAGGGGTAAGATATAATTAATCATAGGAAATGTACAAAATAATATTAATCATAGGAAATGGGATACAAAATAGAATTAATCATAAGAAATGAGGTGAGGTAAAATCAAAATAAACTAAAATTAAGAGGACTAATTTAATATCACCTATATATTTAACATTAACATTATTTACAATAAAGTTTTTTTTAAAGTTAGAAGCACATCAATATTTTAATCAACACGATCTTCGACTATAGAGCGTTCCTTTGAGTCCACTACTCTTAAAAATAATTAATGATTTCCCAATTAAAAGATGATATTTTGTTGAATCCCTCGACTATAAAAAAATTACAAAATGGTCACTCAACTAAATCATCTATTAAACATTTTTTTGAATAGTCTGAGGTGCTTACAAAAGAGTATTTGTTCATAATCTTTCTTAACCATTGACAATGCATACACATCATCCGGACGTAACTGTTCAGAGAACAATATCTCTTTAACTATTAAGAATTAAAGACTACTTAATAGGTTCCTCCGTTAAACATTCTTTTGTCATCATTATCTGTCTAATAGAAAGCTTATGAATCTACTGACACACACGAGCCATGATCTTGATACTGTCTCGTTATGTTAAGACTGGGAAGTATTGTTTGATGAATAAACATCTCTGGGTTTATATATTTTGCAAGATGTATTGATTTGTGAGGACCAAATGTGAGATTTACAAAAGAAACAAGTCAACACAACAATGGGTATACGTACGTGCAGAGAAAAATAAAGAGTTATAAGGAAAATGGAGCCTAACTTTATTCAAGATGAATTAACCATTTTGGATTTGGTTCTCACTATTCAACAGAAATCTGAGGAACCTGTAAGAAGAGATTGTAATTACTGATAACAAGTTATACCTGGAAAAAAAAGAAACATACATGTGCTGTGATTTGAAACAAGGGAAGGGAAGGGAAGAAGTTGATTCAACATCGCCAAGAAGAAGCTGCAAGAATAGCTCTATCTTGCCACCCCAAGAGCAAGCAGCCTTTATCTTCAGTGAGTCGATAACCATCACAAGAATATAAACCCAGCAAGATCTTGGATTGAGTTACTGCATTTGCACTTAAGGGCACCCCTTGGAACCCTTTTCCTTCCATTAATTTCCTCCATTTCTCCAGCCTCTCGTGCCTTTCTATTCTCTCACTCCCTTCACACGCCACTATGTTTCTTATCTCCGGCGCAAATATATACTGCTCTACTTTGGCTCTCTGCGCGGAATCTGGTGGGAAAGTGGCGTCCAGTGAGTCAAATATGGCTGAATAATAGTGCAATGCCTCCAGGAAACGGCCTAAGAAGTAAGGTCCATTATGGCTTGCTTCTTGTTCAACGAGAGTTACTATGTTAGGCGCTTGGTTACGGATCATTGCCAGTAGGTTCCCGAGGCAGCTCCCGGGGACTCGGTGGAGCGTGTTAACAGCGTTCACGGCGAGAGCCTCACCGACTCTCCTGTTGAACATATGGGGCTTTATGTCTTCAAGTTTCTCCCCAATCGGGTGGAACTCGAACGGAATGTGGAGCGAGTGAGCTAGTTCAGTCAAGCATCTCCCCGTCTCTTTAATGGCTTCCATAGAGGTCCCGACTCCAGTTATCCTTAGAAATGGAGCTCCGCTCGGTCGAGCAGCTAAGGCTTGCATGAAAGCCGGCCACTGATAGCCTTGGAGGATATCTAAGTCAATCATATGAACACGTTCTTCAGCTTCAAATGCCTCGAAGATGGCTTGATTAGCAGTGAAATGTGCAAACTTTACGTAGGGACATGCTTGGTAAACAATTTGGTAAATCTTGAGGATTTCCAAGGAGTTTGATGGGAAAGGAGGGTACGGTTTCGGAGCACCAGAGGTGCTGGGATTGGTGGTTATGGTGGCGGCGAGCCTTGCACTTAGGGCTTCAGTGAAGCAAGAGGCAACTCTTTGCATGGAGTCCCCGAGAAGAGTTACCACTCGGTTGAGGTGATGTATATATTTTCTTGCTAACAAGTAATCCTCTTTGGCTACTGCTTCAGCACATGCAAGCAGCAGGTGAACCAACTGAAGTCCACTATCTTGCTCCTATAATGTAAAATTAGAATAAAATGTCGAATTATAAAAATAGAAGATCGAATTATGTCGAATAATCAATGATTAAACAAGAGGAGGAAATAGCAAGGGATCAAAGTACCTGCTCAGGGCCAACAGGGATGGGAACCATCAAGGTATGGCCAAGGTTCTGGTTCTGCTGTTGTTCAGGTGATACTGATATTCGCTTCTCTTGCTGCTTCTCTTGTTGCAGTTGTTGGGATAATGGTGCCCTTGAGACGGCACTTACCTGATAGTGTTGCTCCTGGTTCAACTGAGACGATATCGTTTCACTCACCGACCCAGAAAACGTTGAAGAATTTACCATGGAGATGCAGTCCAACATCGATGGAACAGTAGTAGGCATTTCAAACATGTTATTTGAAGTTCCAATACCCGAAATCCTGCTTGTTTGGTTCTGATCTTCATAACCATCCTTTCGATAATCATCCAAGAATTCTTCGATGGCAGGCAGTGAAAGGCTTTCAACCTGCATGAACTGATCGTTAGACGAGTTAAACACTCTATGCAGTGGGCTCTGCCCTTTCCCCTTGCTGCTGCTGCTGCTATATGACCCGAACTGAGACAAAAACCGAGGCGGAGAACACCCTAAGATACTCTGCCCTTGCATTCCCATAACACTATTGAAGTTGTAGTTCGACACTTGTGGAGACGGAAAGTTCCTCACCGGAGACGAGACCATGAAATCGGAATCGAAATGATCGGAGAAAAAAGTTTCCCACAGGGAACTGTCTGGGGACTGAACCTCAACATCACCATCCAATTCAAATTTCACAGCAGGGAAGTTGAGGCTTGGTGGGGTTAAGCTGGTTTTCTCCATTTCAGAAGATGGAGCATTTTTCTTGGACTCGGCCATTGATTCACATGAGTTTTCACTCTTGATGGAATTAGGCATGCTTTATGTTACTTGTTTGTTGATCAAAAACCCCAAAACAAAAACAAAATATATGTTTTGTTTTAAGAAATGAAGCTGTTTTGTTCCCAATATTGCTGTGATTTAGCAGTTAAATGGAATGAGAAACAACTTTTCTCTCTCTTCTTATTTACAACAGGGATTTGTCTCATTGTCCAGATGGTCTTACGAAGTGGGATGGACTCAAGACAAATTGCTAAGCTGAATTCACGTGATTGGAGGTTTTTGATCAAATCAGCTTTGGCTGGCTTTTCTAGGGGACTAGTTTGTCATTTGGTGTTACTTCACTTCTTTTTTTTTTTTCTCTCCGTTTTAAGGTTTCATACTGACTAATCCGGACTGATTTGTGTCATACACCTTACTTTCATGATATCTTAATGAAAATTTTCTACATGCACAATACATCGAACTCGAGATTAATTTAAACGATATTTTACACTTGAACCAATCCTGTCGATTACTTCACTTGTTTTGTTTTTATACTACATGACAAGCCATCAGTTGGCATTGATGGGGACCCACTTCTCCCTTTGGGCCGGCCCATCTCATTGAAGAATAATGGGATAAAACAACTTTTAACCCTTGAACTTGGTCACTTTTCTCAACCTGATCCATAAACTTTTTTGGGTCCAAATTAGTCCCTAACTTTAGAATTTTGGTCCAATTTTAGTTTTGGTTAATGACACTAGCAAAAGGACTAAAATGAGAAGAAACGATAGTTCAATGATTAATGTGGATAAAAAAATTCAAGGATCATGTTAAGAAAAATTACCAAGTTGAAGGACTAAACATTGTCTTATCTCAAGAATGAATAATTGAACTTATTAACCTAAGCAGTAAAAGTAAATGTTATTCTACCTAAAGTACCTGAGTTCAAAAAACTGCATCTATAGAGTGTGTGCATTGTTAATGGTTAAAAAATATCATGAACAAATACTATCTTATAATCAGCTCAGACTATTAAAAAAGATCAAATTATGGTTTTGCTCCCTCTATTAGTCTTATATTTATAATTCAATTAATATACTTTAATTTAGCATAGTTTGATCGCTCTACTCTTACAATGTCATTTGGTAATCTCAAATAGTTAGCACCCCTTCCAACTCATCTTGGTTAGATGATTTTGTTTGCGTGTTTTTTGTTGGAAGGATGATTTCAAGAAAAATCCACGCAAATATTTTAAATGTCATAGTTAATAGTATTTGATTAATTGATATAATGTTAAAATTATCCCCATTGTTGCTTAAAATGGTCACTTTAATTTTTTTTAGCATTTTGGCCCCTAATATTTCTTTAAGAGTAAAAAGGCCCCTAACATTTAATTGAATAGTCACTTTGACCCTCAATGTTTATTTTATGGCAAATATACCCATGTTTTGGAGCATTAACATTTTGTTAACGCATGATCCAAGCGACCTAAATGGTAAAGGAACCGTTGTTTTCTCGAGGTCCTAGGTTTGAGCACCATGAATGACAGGGGTGTGAGCGTTCAATCTCAAATGATTTATAGTTATCTTTAAAAAAAATTACTTTGTACTTAAGTACTTACCCCATATTAATAAAAAAACATTTTGTTAACTAACGATTTCCATCTACGGATGAACCTTTTTACCCTAAAATGTTCCAAAAATAATAACATTCAAAATGACTATTTTGATAAATATTGGGGACATATTATGCCTTGATAACAATTAAGGTAGAGGACTAAATTATGTGAAATTAAAGTACAAGGACTATAGTTAGAATCAGTAGAGCTGGACTGAGTGTGTGAATCTGGAACTGGAAATAAAAAAAAAAAAAAAAAACTGGAACGATGACAAAATTTCATTTCTTGAAAAGGACTTGAAACAATGCATAACTCTTGTGAAAAAGACTGCAAAATTTGCATAATGACAAAGGGATGTATAAATTCTTTTTAACTTTTACACTAACGAGGATGCACTTCGTTATTAGCATTGTAATGTGCAAAAATTGTTACTTTAACACTATCGAGGGTGGCTTAGCTGTTTTTCATCCATTCTAACAGTGCCATAAATTATATCGTTTTCTTACTTATATTCAAATACGGATGCAGAAATTTATGTTAGAAGGTATGAATTTAAGAAATTATATTAAAAATTTAGAATGTGCGAAATTATAAAAGGTCATAGGCACAAAATTAGAAAATCAATAAAAACATAAAGAAAATACATAAGATATAAAGGAATTTAAAACTTTTAGGGGTGTGTCTGCACCCCAACACCCCTCAATCTCTCTCTAGTTTTATCTTTAGCTTTTAAAGGCTTTCTTGTGTCAACATTATATGAAACTCAAGTAAAAAGCTTGATTAACTTTAGGGTCGTAAGGATAATTAATTAATGTAGGATGTTGGGTTAAAATTCCTAAATGTAGGTATATATATATAATGTATGATGTTATTATGAAGTATAATATAAAATTAAGTGATCAATTATGTTATATGTGTCATAGATAGAGATGATAATTTAACCCGTATTCAATATTTAGTTTTTTTATAAAAAAGTTCGGATTCAGATCATATTGGATTTATGGTGAAAAATCTTTGATCCGACCCAATCTAAGATTTTTCTTTTACAAATTTAGGGATAACTGCTTTAAAAATAATATATATATATTTATATCGGGTCAAGTCGAGTTCAGGTGGAGGAAATATGCTTCTCGGGTTAGGTTAGATTATGTGGATAAGATATACTTCTTGATCGGGTTCAAGTGAAGGATGTATATTTCTTGGGTCGAATCAAGTTGACCAAAAACCCGACCCAACCCGACCCATTGCAATCTTTTGTCATAAGTATAAAAGTATCATGGAAACAAAGTGTAAATATCATAAGTTGCATTTATAATTTGATGAATGACATAATTATAAATACTTAAAAGATTGATCTGATATTTAGTTTACGTAGTGGTCCCCAAGTAGGTTAACTTATATTTTTTTCTTATCACGCAGAGAGTTTATACTCAAGTGAAAACATATCTTCTTAAAAAATTATAATCTTTTAGGCGATCTTCAACAATTAGGGATAGACCGAGAAGGGAGCGACCAAGACACTCATCCTAAATTTCAAATTATCATATATTTGAGATATTTTTTCTGTTTTTTTTGTTGATAATCTAATTTTCAATTGCAGAACACAAGAAGGACTAGTGGGTGTCATGCCGTCATGGTCCCCTAAAATTTTAAAAATCATAATTTAGACCGTTAAAATTTTAAAAAATTAATTTGACCCTTTAAAATTTTTAGAAATTTAGATTAAATTTTAAATTTTTTTAATGTTCTTAATTAAACCGCCCATAATTTTTAAAAATTCTCATTAAACCTCTTAAAATTTCAAATATTTTAATTAGATTCTAATTTTTTGGAAAAATAAAATTTAAACTAAACCCTTCAAAATTTTTAATTTAAATCTATGATTTTTTTAAAGTTTTAAGTTGCCCCCAAACTCTATTACCAAATTCCACCACCATTATTTTTGTTCCCTAAAATTTTATAAGTTTACCTCCTAAAATTTTAAAAATTCGTCCTAATATAAAATCTTATGTTCGTTCCTACCAACAATAATGAATTTATGTACATTTTAGTAAATCTAGTATTCTTTTATTGTGAATTTGACGCGATTAAAACTTAAATTTGATTTCAAATCATTTATGTTTTGATTTTAACATGCAAAACCGAAAAAATGCGTATAAAAGTAATTGGTGATAGTATTGTAGGTGATTTTACATAAAGAAAAAGCAAACACAAAGTCACCACCATGGGAGGAAAAGACAAGGGGACATGGGCAAGGCCGTCGCGTATGGCGTCGTAGGCGCCGCCTACCCTTGGATTTGCCAAAGGAACGAAGCGTTTGTCCCAAGCCCTTTCTGCCTTAGGCGGCTTCTCTCTCCTCTCTCTCTCTCTCTCACACACACACATCATTTTCATATAAACAAATACATTTTGCATGTCAACTTTTGTTTAAAATAACCCTAAATCTTGCCTTTGTCACCTTTGGGGATTCGTTTGCGTACTTCTTTCTCTTCCATTTCTTTACCTTAATCCTTAAAACCATCGTTTAATCATTGTGATGGAGAATATCTTCTCTACAGTATTTCATAGGGTTAGTAAGAAACGAATAGATATTGTTTATCATATACCCAGGGATGAATCGAACGGGGTTCACAAGCACATTCCCTCTTAAATTTTTAAATTATCATATAATTTAAATATCTTTTTATATTTTTTATTAATAATTTATTTTTACGCTTAAAATTTTATAAATTCGTTCCTCAACATAAAATCATACATACGTCCATATATATATAAACCATATATGCAAGGTCGGCTCTTAAGGGAGCACCCTTAGCTACTGCTTAGGGCCCCCAATTTTTATATTCATGATTGAGCCCCTTGTATGAACCAAACAACTTCAGGTTAAATGATTTGTTGTTATTTTTTGAGGTTCCGAGTTCGAGCACTGTGAGCGTTCATTGTCAAAGGGTTGAGAATCTTTGAACATATAATACTTTTTATTTACCCCAGATTTATAAAAAAAAAATAATCAGGCCTCTCAATTTTTATATTTATAATTGGCCCCCTTAACTTTCTTTTTTTCATAAAAATTTAAATTTTACCATTTTCTTCCATCTCTCTTGTTAATTCATTTAATTTTGGTTAAATTTAACTATATTTTTCTCTTTTTTTTAATCTCATTCTTCAATTTATCAAATATTCTTTAACTTTTAGTTCTCCAAATACAATCGAACGATAAAATATAACCCTACTCTTTAATTTTTGCTCAGGGTCTCGAGAATGTTCGAGACGACTATCCATATTTGCAAGTATATGCCTAAAAGAAGCATTATTTTAACCCTACGATGAGCCAAATGATGTTTAGTTTAATGTTTTAAGACCAAGTCTTAATTCATGAATGGATAGCAATAGGAAG